CAGAGAGAGGGGGAGACAGAGACCCAGAGAGAGGGGGACAGAGATTCAGAGAGAGGGTTGAACGGAACTAGAAAAAGAACATGAGGGGGTGGAGGATATCTAAGCCAGCGTAGGTGTTATGAACTGCTAACCGCAAGGTCAACAGTTTGAAATTACCAGGCGTCCTCAGGAGAAAGAGGAGGTTTTATGTTCCCGTAAAGATTTACAGCCTCGGAAACCCTACACGGGGTCACTTTGAGTTCGAACCCACTCCATGGCACGAAACCACCACCATCCTCATTTAGACACAGAATCTTTAGAACATCTTTGTGATGGAAAGGAGCAAGAGTCACAGAACTAGAAACGTTATTTCTCCAACACGGAGCAAGTTTAAACCCAGGAGAACTGAAGATGTCACAGTTGCCCTCGAGTTGATTCCAACTCACGGTAATCCATGTGCTAAAGTAGGCCTGTGCTTCCACAAGGTTTTCGGTGGCGGATAATTTGGAAGCAGATTGCCAGCCCTTTCTTCCGAAGCACCTTTGTTGTTAAGTGTTGCCGAGTCAGTTCTGATTCATAGCAACCTTGTATAGGGTTTCCTAGGAGTGACTGGTGAGCTTGAGCTGCTGACCTTGTGATCCAGCACTTCTCCTAGGTGGACATATCTCCAACTTTTTGGTTAGTGGCCAACTGTGTTGCTATTTGCACTACCCAGGGATTCCCATGACAGTCATAGGGCTGGGAATATAACATGTATTAAGTGCTTACCAGACTGTACCCTTTAATAAGGATTTTTTGATACTACACAAAACTGTTTATTTATACACAAAATTAAGGTTCAAGATGGAAGAATTTGTCCACGTCACGCCCATGCCCATATGTGCAGCAGCCTAGAATTTGAACCAAGTTCTTTCTGATGCTGAAATTATGGCAAAAATTATGGCCTTTCTGTAAAAAGAGAGTTAATAAGAATAGGAGAAGGAGACATGGAATGTGTAGTTAATTACCTCCTTTGCCATGAGACCAGAAGAACTGGATGGTATCTGGCTGCCATGACTGAACCTTTTGATCCAAAGAGTCTCTAGAAAAATACTGACCAAAAGGGGGAAAAATATAGAACAGAATTTCAAATTGCAATGAAAGCCAGACTTTGTGGAGCCATGAAGGCTGTTTGAAACTATTGCCCTGACATCATCTTTAAACCTTGAAACAAAGATATCTCTGAAGTTTTCTTAAAACCAAACAATAGCATTGTGGGCTAAACTTTGGCTGCTAACCACAAAGGTAGTATTCAAACTCACCAGCCACTTCAAAAAAGAGGAGGCTGTCTTCTACCACAAAGATTTACAGTCCAGGAAGCCCTAGGAAGCAGTTCTACTCAATGGCAGTGAGTTTGGTTTGATGGTTTTCTTTCTGTGTGTATGTTTTGTGTTTTTCCTTTTTTTTGAGTAAAGAACGTAAGCCTTGAACATTGTGTCCTTTTAAAATCTATTCATATAGGACAGCAGTAAAGATTAGATAGGAAGCTTAGGGGACAGTGAGTTGATAAGAATGAGGGAGGAGCAAGTCAGAAAAGGAGGATGAGGATGTTTGCTTAACTCATAGACTCTAATCGGTGTGACTCAAGTGTACACGCAGGAATTGTATTGGTGTATGGGCTGCTCTGTGTACGGTCTCAACAATAGCAATGGGAACAAATGATTCAAAAAGAGAAGGAACTAGAAGCCCAAAGAGAGAAAGGTATGGGAGAGTTAGAAGGGGACACAGGACTAACATCAGAGAGAGAGGGGTTCCTGGGAACTGTAGAAATATGGAGATGATAGGACTCCACCCCACCATCCACTACACACACACACTGACCTGTCCTCTTGTCATTTTAGGAACAACCTGTCCTTAACGCCACCTGGGACTGAGTGGAGACCTACTACACCTTTCCCAACCGTGCCACCCTCACTCCTGGGCACCCCAGACCCAGCCCATCTGGGCCTCCCTGAGAGCCTGGCTTCTGTGACGGTCCCCATCCGGCTGGATGCCCTCTCGTGCCTCCTGCACAGCGCCCTGCTGGGGGCCTACACCCTACAGCAGTCCCTACCGTCCTGCCCTTGTTCCCTTGAAGCCTGTTGTACCCGGCCAGGCCTAGCTAAGAGGCCACCCCGGGGGCACAGGGGGTGGGAAGTCCACCGCAGGCCAGGCTGGGGCCAGGGTTCTCGGCAGCGGGAACGTGGGAGAGCTGAGCAGGCTGAGAGAGGACAGGTAGGGGGCTCTAGGGCTGGTCCCAAGACCCCACTGACAATACCAAGGATGACGACGATGCCACCACCTCCTGCCAGAGACGAAAAGAAGGAAGCCCAAGGTCCGGAGCCAGCGCTGGACACACCACCTGCTGCTGAGGACTGGGAGTCTGAATACAAGTCCTGAAAAGTTCAGTGTCCTGGTCCCTGAGAGGACCTCTCCTGGTCACCCTGCCCTGTGAGAGATACCCCCAGAAACAGAGTAGTCCCACCCAGCTACCACAATATAGCTGTGGTTTTAGGAATAGGCCTGATTTAGGATTTTAAAGCAAAAAAAAAAAAAACCCTGAACCTCAGATCCAAATCCAAACAGCTCTCTTCACTGCCCTAACACCATTCCCCATCTCCAAGTATAACTATCACTCCTCTCCTTTCTCAACCCCAAGCCCTCTTCCAACGTCATCCCCAACTCCATTCCTAACCCGAAGTCATGCCCACCTTCCTCTACAACCCCAATTCCATCCCATGTCCCAGTTCCATCCATTCCCTATCCCTGTCCCCAACCCAAGTTCTGTATCCTCACCTATATTTCCAAGTTTGCTATCCTCATTCCCTACCTCAGCCCAAACCAATCCTCATTTGTAACTTCATCCTAAAGTCTCACCCCCACCTCAGTCCTGTCTGGAACCCCAGCCACTGCTTTCTTATCACCATTCTACTTCTTATCCTCACCCCACTTGGGACATTCCCTAGGACTCTACTGCCAAAAGAACCCCATTGGCCCAATATATATGGTCATCTGCATCCCCCCCCCCACTCCATTTCCTGCCCTTTGGGGTGGGGAACGCTGGTTGAACAATAAATGGATGACTGTCCCCATATCTTGTGTGTGTGTCCACGGCTCAGGCTAACCAAGGGGCTCGTATGAGCCAGGCCCGTGATAGGTGGTAGAATGTGGGGCCAGGGGCTGGATTCTGTTCTGAGTCTCTGCCACCACTGTACTTCTGCTTGCTGGTATCTTTGATACTGCGAGATCGTTGTCTGAAGAGGCTTAAGGGATTTGGGGGACCCAGTGGGGACAGAGAGGCCAGCAGGGAGGGAACTGGCTCAGCTTAGTCTGCACAGAGGGGCTGAGGTGGACAGAGGGTTCAGGACAGGCTCTGCCACTCAGGTAGGGACCAGGTAAGGGACATACAGTTCCCTTCACCCCCAGAACCCAGAAGTCCAGGATCCCAGCTTCTTCCTCTCCCAAGGTCCTGGTGACCCAACCCCAGCCCCCTCATTCCCCAGGACCCAAGAACCCAGCTCCCCACACTTCTTCCCTCAGACTCAGGAATCCAGGGCCCCCAGCCCTGTCCTTCCCCAGGAAACTGGAATCCAGGCCCCCAACCCCTTCCTCCTTCAGACTTAGAAATCCATCCCTCTTAGCCATTTCCTCCCTCAGACCTAGGAATCCAGACCCCCACCCCTCCTCCCTCAGACTCAGAAATCCAGTCCGCCAGCTCTCTCATCCCTCAGACCTAGGAATCCAGACACCCAGGACCCAGGAATCCAGGCTCCAGCCCTTACCTCCCCCAGGACCCTAGAATACAAATCTTGGATCCCAGTCACCTCCTCTACTGGGACCCAGGAGTAAGAGATCCCCAGACCCCGCCTTTCCTAGGTCCAAGGCCCAAACCCCCTCCACCCCCCAGGACTCAGGGATTTAGGGTCCAAGCTTTGTTCTCTCCCAGGGACCTGGTCTCAGAGACCCCAGTGCCCTCTTTGCCCAGGTGCAGTGTGCAGACCCCCACCCTCCCCACAGATCACCAGGTACAGCTTCATTAGTGGCAGCCTCTTCTGTGTCTGGGTGGGGACCACAGCGACTGACCACTGGATGCAGTTCCGGCTTTTGGGCTTCTTCGCCCACCGGCGCCTGTGGCAGTGTTACCGGGGCAACAAGTGCTAACCTGCTGATGGAGAGAGAGCATCGGTGAGGTTCTGAGACAGGAGCTGGGGCACACCTGGGCTCCCAGGTGCACGGCATGCAGCTCAGAACCTGGGCTCCCAGGTGCACCGCACACACATCAGAACCTGGGCTCCCAGGTGCACCGCACACACATCAGAACCTGGGCTCCCAGGTGTACCATGTGCAGGTCAGTACCTGATGCCTGGAAGGCTATTTACTTTCCAGGTGGAGACCTTGTGGCTCAGAGAGGGGAAGTGACCAGCCCAAGGTCACTCAGCATGGACTGGCAGGACTGGGATTTCAGTGCTATTTTCCAGTATTTGCAGGGTGGCCTGGTTTAGCAGTTCAAAAGGATCATGGGTAGTGCCGTTGTTAGACATTCAGCTGCTAAACTGAATGGTCAGGGATTTGAACCCACCACCCACTCTGGGAGAAAGATGCAACAGTCTGCTTTAATAAAGACAGAAGGCTGAGCAGGTGTAGCCTCCTACAGGGTCACTATGAACCAGATCCGACACTATGGTAGAGGGTTTCGGGGGTAAGTAAAGATAGGTGGCATTTTTGGGGGCACTGTAAAAGTGTCAAGGGTTGTCCTGAGTGATGCAAATGGTTAAGCACTGGGCTACTAACGGATAGGTTTCTGGTTCAAATCCACCCAGAGGCTCCTTGGAAGAAAGTCCTGGAGATCTGCTTCCAAAAGCTCACAGCCTTGAAAACCGTATGGAGCAGGGTTCTACTCTGACACACATGGTGTCATGTGAGTCAGAACCTACTCCATGGCAACTGGTTTATTTTTTAGATTTTAAAAAATAAGTGTCAAGTAATCAGTTGGTGGAGTCCTGATGTGGCACTGTAGGGTTAATGCACCAGACTGCAAAATCGTTTGACCTGCAAGGTCGGTGGTTCAAGCTCACCAGCTGCTCCTTGGAAACCCTATACAGGGTCGCTATGGGTTGGAATCTACTCGACGGTACTTAACAACAAGAACAAGCAGTTGGAGCTGGGTTTTTAGAAATAGTTTTCCCGCATCTCCTAAGTATCACTATGTATCAGCACTGTGTTAGGTAATGGGGGTTATCGAAGCAATTCAAAAACAAACCCAGATGCATGGAAGGGATTGTAACCATAACAACAAAATGACATAAGATAGGATGAATGTAAAACTAATGTTCTCTCATATAAACTATCACATAATTCACAATAAAACTTTAAAAAGCAAAACAAAACGAAAACAACCCAAACTCACTGCTAACCAGAATGGGACTGCATAGAATCTCTCTCTGGGGTTTCTGATGCTGCGTATCTTTCTGGGAGCAGATTGCCACATCTTTCTCAAGCAGGAGCAACTGGTAGGTTTGAGCCCAATGCTTAGCCCACTGTTACCAAATCTGCTTTACAGAAGCAATTTACAGAAGCAAGTGTTTGTGCATGTGTCGAATCAGTTCCCACTCACAATGACCTGTCTATATAGGTTTCTGGGAGAAGCTGGTGGATTTGAACTGCCGACTTTGCTGTTAGCAGTCCAGTGCTTATCTTACAGCACCACACCATGACAATGTTGCTGTTAAGTGTTGTGGGGTCTGTTCCAACTCACAATAATCCTGTATAGGGTTTCTGAGGAGCAGCGGGTGGGTCTGAACTGCCTACCTCGTGGTTAGCAATCCAGTACTCATCCTACAGTGCCACACAAGGATAATGTTGTCGTTGTGGTTGTATGCTGTTGAGTAGGTTCCGACGCATAGCAACCCTGTGTAGCAGTCCAGTGCTTCTTCTACAGCACCACACCAGGACAATAATTGTTGTGTTGTTAAGTGCCGTCAAGTCGGTTCCGATCCATAGCGACCCTGTAGAAGAGCAAGCAGCTGGTGAACTTGAACCACCAACCTTGCAGTTCAAACAGCTTTGCAGTCTAGCACATTAACCCACAGCGCCACACCAGGACTATAATTAGCTGGAAAATGTTTGCTGCCCCCTTCAAATAGGATGTGTTGTTAAGTGCCATTGAGTTGGTTCCGATTCACAGCAACCTTGTATAGGGTTTCTGAGAAGTGGCTAGTGGGTTTGAACCACCAATCTTGCAGTTCAAACCAACCTTATGATCAAATACTTATCCTACAGCGCCACACCAGGATTCCTCAAATAGGGTGTATACGTCCCTAAAGGAGAAAGAGACAAACAGTCATTTAATAAGGAAGATATTCCATCAAGATGGAACTAAGAGACAACAAGGAGCTCTGCTGGTGCAGTGGGTTAAGTGTTAGGCTGCTGACCAAAATGTTCTTGGTTCAAACCCACCAGGCACTCGCTTGGAGAAAGATGAAGCTCTCTGCTCCCATAAAGTTTTATAGTCTAAAAAACCTTGAGAAGCAGGTTTGCTCTGTACTATAGATCTTGGGACGGTACTAAAGGACTGTTAAATACAAGGTTGGCAGTTCAAACTCATCAACTACACCTTGAAAACCTTATTCAGGGTTGCTATAGGTCAGAACTGACTTGACGACACTGAACAACAGCAATGACAATGGGGTTGTTAGGAGTCAGCACCGACTCAACGGCAGTGGCATCGCACATTGATAGCTGACCCATGGGACATTCATGCTCAATTCCCACAACCCTCAACTCAGTCAGCCTCCAACCCTTCTCCTTCCTGTATTTGCAGCTGGAACGAGATTGCATTGACATTTGAGGTGATGTTCTTGCATAAACCTAACCGCAGGAATGAAACGGGCTATTGCATATTCCCCCATAAGTTCTCCAGACTTCCAACCGTCCAGAAACATCTGTGGAGAAGTAGCCAGGAAATTTCACTCACTGAGACTCACCTAAGTCACAGACTGCGTTTTGCAAAGATCTAAGACTTTCACCTTTTTGTTGTTTTTTCAGGGTAGGTTCCAAGCTCTGTGCGAGGTACACAGTCATCCTGGGTACGCAGTTGTCCTGGGGTCTCCAGAAAGCCAAGTGGTGAAAAGTATGGGGTCTGGAGCCTGAATTTCAATGCCCCTCACCCCAGTTGTAGAATCCTGGTGTGGTGCCATGGGATCAGCACTGATGGCTGCAACTGCAAGGTTGGCTGTTCAAACCCACCAGCTGCTCCTTGGAAACCCTATATAGGATCACTTTGAGTCAGACCTGACTCGACAATACTTAACAACAACAACATTATGTGTCAAAGGACTCTGGTGGTGCCATGGGTTAAGTACTGGGCTGCTAACCCAGAAGTTGGCGGTTGGAACCCAGTCTGGCATTTTTTTTCTATCAGAAAGGTCATATTTCCCAACTACTGATCCTTCTTCTTGGTTTTCAACCTTTGCATTTAAATCACCAGTAAACAACGTATTACATTAGACAAATCTGCTGCACAAGACCTTTTTAAAGTGTTGAAGAGCAAAGATGTCAGCTTGAGGACTAAGGTGCACCTGACCCAAGCCATGGTATTTTCAATAACCTCATATGCATGCAAAAGCTGGACAGTGAATAAGGAAGATCGTAGTAGAATAGATGCTTTTGAGTTATGGTGTTGGAGGAGAATATTCAAAGTACTGTGGGCTGCCAAAAGAACCAATAGATCTGTTTTGGAAGAAGTGCAGCCAGAGTGCTCCTTAGAGGCCAAGATGGCCAAACTTCACCTCTCATACTTTGGACATATTGTCAGGAGGGACCAGTCACTGGAGAAGGATATCACGTTTGGTAAGGTGGAGGGTCAGAGAAGAAGAGGAAGACCTCCAATGAGATGGATTGGCCAAGTGGCAGCATCGATGGACTCAAGCGTGGCAACAGTAAGGTTGGCCCAGGATCAGACAGTGTTTTGTTCTGCTGTGCATAAGGTCGCTATGAGTCGGTGCTGACTCGATGGCACCTAACAATAAAAACCAACAATTTTCAATCCATCTTGATTGCTTCATTGATCAGCTTCAGACTGATGAAGTTGGTAGAATTCTTGAGTTTCATAATTACTCTTTTTAGTTGTTGGTGTGTAGATTTGAATAAGAGTGGTGTTAGTCAGCCTCCATGAAGTTTCCTTGGAAATCCCATGAGGCCCTTCTATAGGGTTGCTCTGATTCTGAATCTACTTGATGGTAGTGGGTTTTGGGGTTGGAAATAAATTTCCAAGAATCCCTGGTGGTGCTTTAGTTAAGTGCTTGACTGCTAATCATTGGTTTGAACCCAGAACACACTCCGTGGGAGAAAGACCTGTAGAGATTTCAGTCTTGGAAACCTGACTCCGCTCCATGGGGTCCCTGTGAATTGGGATTGACTGGGCTGGCTTTGTTTCTTTGTTTGAAATTATTTTTATGTGCCAGGTGAAGGAGACAAACAGGCTCTTGTCTTTACAGAGCTAAGATTCTAGTAGGGAGAGATAGGCCTTACAAGGAAACTGAAATGAACTAATAGGACATTTCCAGATCTGAGTAAGTGGAATGAAGGAAATGAAAGTGGGCTGTGCAGAGTGGGACAAGGAGAGTTTTTGTCAGTGGGCTGTGGAGACTCTAGTTCATTCATGTACCCACCCACTCACTCATTCATCAAGGAACATCGCTTGAGGACTAGGAGGGACCAGTCCCTGGAGAAGGATATCATGTTTGGTAAAGCGGAGGGTCAGAGAAAAAGAGGAAGACCCCCAATGAGATGGATTAGCACAGTGGCAGCAGCAATGGGATCAAACATAACAACAATTGTGAGGTTAGCCTAGGACTGGGCAGTGTTTCGTTCTGTTATGCATAGGGTCACTATGAGTAGGTACTGACTCAGTGGCATTTAACAACAACAACAATAATGTATGATGAGGGAGTCCTGGTGTGGCGCTGTGGATTAATACACTGGACTGCAAGTTCGTTTGAACTGCAAGGTCGGTGGTTCAAACTCACCAGCTGCTTCTTGGAAACCCTATACAGGGTTGCTGTGAGTCAGAACAGACTCGACGGCACTTAACAACAACAACAATGTATAATCAGGAGTCCTGGTGTGGCACTGTAGGATGAGCACTGGGCTGCTCATCACAAGGTCGGCAGTTCAAACTCACCAGACACTCCTCAGAAACCCTACACAGGGTCATTATGAGTCAGAACCAGCTTGATGGTAGTTAACAGCAAAAACAATATGAAATGAGGAGTCCTTGTATGGAGCTGTTGGATAAGCACTGGGCTAGTAACTGAAAAGTCAACAGTTCAAACCTGGTATTTATAGCTGCTCCTTGGGAACTCTATACAGTGCTGACTTGACAGCACATAACAGCGACAACAGCGTATGCAATGAGATGACCCAGTGGCGCTGTAGGATAAACCCTGGACTGCTAACCACAAGGTCAGTAGTTCAAACCCACCAGCCACTCGGCAGAGAAAGGTAAGTCTTTCTGCTCTTGTAAAGATTCCCAGCCTCAGAAGCCCTGTGCTGGGTTTCCATGAGTTGGAATCGACTGTAGGGAACACAACAACATTGTGTGAGGCAAATTTGTGAGGCGCCGTCGATTTGGTTTTCAACTCATAGCAACTCCATGTGATGGAGTAGAGCTGCCCCCATAGAGTTCCTAAGGCTGTATCTTTTTATGGGAACCAGTCACCAGCTCTTCCTCCTGTGGTATTTCTGGGTTAGGTTTGAACTGCCAATCTTTTGGTAAGCAGCTGAGCCAACAGGTTGGAAGGGGAGACAGATAAAGAAAGTCACATCCCACAGAAGGGTGAGGATGATGATGCCTGAGGGGTGAAGGAATGCTTCCTACAGGAGAGCGTTTCAAAGTGGGCTTTGGAGGATGAGTAGAAATTTGCTAGGTGAAGTGTAGGCTCTTGACAAGAAAGTGATTCTGAGTATGGATGAGCCCGGTCCAGGAGGTGGATGGAGACAAGCATTCACCACTGAGAGCAGAGTAGACCTGGGGGTGACCTGTTGTGCCCCCACAGGGTACTGGAATACCACCTGTGCCTTCACGATCCTATTGGTCCTGTGCCCACTGCCGGCATCGTCCTGGGCATCCTGGCCTTCACTCAGGAGCCCACCTTCGCTTGTCTCTCCCAACACTTCTCCGAGGGCATCATGTTTTTTGCCTCCAGCGAGTGGGTCCACCCCACCCCTGACCTTCTCTTTGCCCTCACACTCAATTCCATGCCCATGTCCAAACCCAAACAAATCACCACCTCCAACCCACTCTCCCCTCCCCCTCCTCCTTCCCACTTTCTACTTCACTCACACCCTAACCCCAATCCCACCCAACCCGCCCACCACTTTCCTGTGTCTCATCTCCAACTCCCTGCCCACCTCCAGCTCCAACCTTGTCTCCATATTTAATTCCTCTCTCATCCGCTATTCACTGTCATTCCCAACCCACCACCCACTTCATGTCCTACCCTATTCCCACCTCTAACTCTCCCCATCCCGGTTCCCTTCTCCACCTCTCCACTCACCTCCAACTACACCCATCCCTGCTGCCCCCCACACCTCACCTTCTCTCCACAGCCCTTCGTATCCTCTGGACCTTGGCCATTTTTACTGGCGTCACCATCAGCTTCCTTGGCCGCCATTTCAGAGACAGGTGCTTTTCCTGGTCTTACTTCCTGGGCTGGGTGACCCTGCTTATGGTCTTCTTCACAGGTATGGGGGCTGGAGGGAGTGGGAAGGTCAGTGTTGGGAGAGGACTGGGCAGCACTTCAGGGGCTAAGATGACAAGTCCACTCAGCACTGAGACCAAAGACAGATTCCAGGACAGAGGGGTCTGTGAGGGATGTTGGGCACCAAGGGAATAAAGAGTGGTGGTATCAGGGTCCCTTGGGGTGGGAGCAGGTTGGAGCAGTCAACTGTGATTTCTTCTCACACAGGAATTTTCTACATGTGTGCTTACCAGATGCACAAATGCCAGTGTCTTTCCATGTCCCACTGAGCTCAAATACAATACCCCCAACTTTCTCCACAAGTTAAAAATGAGGTCACTGAAGAGGAAGGGGATGGTCTCGGGCGGGATCTGGATTCCTGGTTCCTGAGAGAATGATGGGGTTCAGTCTTGTTCTCTTGACTTCTGGGTCCTAAGATGGGAGGAGGAAGAATGGAGTTTTGTAGGAGTGAGCTGAGAAGACCCAAGACCTACTCAGAGCAATTATGGGAGGTTTTCATAAAAGTAATGTGAAACTACTGACTTGTGACTGTCTGGGGGGTTGGAGGTGACGAGAGTGTGGTGGGTGGGGTGGGGTGTTATATTATGGCACCCCAACCTTCTCGGTTCCTGTAGAGATGGGGACAGAGATCAACCACACAGTCCCTGACTAGGGGCTGCTTAGAGTCAGGTGAATCTCCCGAGAAACAGATGTGTTGTTATTGTCGTTGCTAGGTGCTGTTGAGTTGATTCCAAGTCATGGTGACCAAATGCACAACAGAACAAAACACTGCCTGGTCATGCTCCAGCCTCACAATCCTTGCTAAATTTGAGCCCATTGTTGGTTTCATTGTTTTGACCCATCTCACTGAGGGTCTTCTTCATTTCTGCTGATCCTCTGCTTCAAATGTCTGAATTCTCTAGTGATGCCTTAACAGAAATCCCACAAATGAGGCCTTCAGCAAACAGAGATGGATTTTCTCACTGTGTAGGAGCCAGGAGTCTGAATTCAGAGTGTCAGCTCTGGGAAAGTTCCTGTCTCCTTTCAGCATATGGAGGCCCAACATCCCTTGGAGATGGCCTCAGTCTTTCCCTGCAGAGACCCCAGGTCCAAAGGACACACTTCATTCCTGGCTCTTCCTTCTTGGTGGAGGTCTGTTTACCTGTTTAGTCTTTTTTTTTATATCTCAAAAGAGATTGGTTCAATATACAATTTGATCCCATACATTCCATCTGGCCTCATTAGCGTCATAGGAATGAAGATTTACAACACAAGGTAATGACATCAGATCACAACTGATCACATCAGATCGTAAGATGGGGAGAGTGATTATATTACATTATCTTAGATCGCATCATCAGCGATTACTATGTCTTAACTGCTAAACCTCTTCGACTCCAGGTCAAGCCAAGTTGACAGGAAACCGAAACTATTACACCAAAGGAGTCCAGGTGTGGCGCTGTGGGTTAATGCGCCAGACTGCAAAGCCGTTTGGACCACAAGGTCGGTGGTTCAAGCTCACCAGCTGCTCCTCAGAAACCCTATACAGGGTCGCTATGGGTCGGAACCGACTTGATGGCACTTAACAACAACAGGAATAATATTTATTGGAACCTCGTCAAATAATAACAGTGTTGTATTTATAGCAGCCTTGCTTAAATAATAATGGCTACTGTGACCTTCTCTAATAATAATTTAGTGAGGACTATTTAAATAGAAATATTTAGAGGCTCATGATTGTATTTATAGGGGCTTATTCCAGCAATAATAATGATTATTGCTGTAATTATAGCAACAGGCTCATACATCCAGCTGCCTACTCCACATTTCCACTGAAAAGAAAAGGCATGCCAAATTTCACACATCTAAGACTGAGCCCCTGCTCTCCCCCACTCTCTGCATCTGCTCCTCCCAGACTCTCTCTCTCTCATCTCAGTCAATGATGACACCATTGTTTGTTCCAGCTGCTCACTGCCAAAAACTGTGGGATTGTCCTCAGATCATTTCTGTGGGACCTTTTGTAGCTGGTTTCTGAAAATAGCCCGAACAATTGAGGTGTTCTTTGTTTAAAACAGCCAGGAAAATTGGGGCTGCACAGGGCCAATGCTTGGTGGAGCTACATGATGCAGTCATGCATATTCATTGATTGGATTGATTAGGAGTGTGCATCAAGGCCCAGGTCATGAATATTCATTGAGGTTCCAATGACTAGAGGACCCTGGACCTTAGAGCTCTCTCCTGGGGCTTCTTGGCTGGGTGAGAACATTCATGTCCAGGACAAGGAGTGGAATGGCCCTGAGGTCAATGGAAGTCTCTTACTGATGCATCTCTTCTCTGTATCCTCTGTGGTCATTATAGTAAAGAGGTAACTGTAAGTATAGGTAATAGTCTCCAAGATTTCTGTGAGTGCCAGTGAATTATTGAACCCACAAGAGCAGTGAGAACTAGCAAAGAGGCTGGTGTTTGCAGGGATAGGAAGGACAAAGTCCCAACTTATGGAAACCCAACTCTGGGTGGCTGGGTCAGACTGACCAGGCGTGAAAGTGGGGATATCCTGACATTATGGGAATCAGCCTTATGCTATTATGAAAGCACTTTCTTGATTTCATATTCCATACCTGCTCCATGAGAAAATACAGGTAGGTCCCAACAGACTGCATATCCTGGTTACAATGAATTGTATTTACCATCGTCTTGGGTTTGTTTGTTTGTTTGGTACATCTTATCATTAGCAATAGGAGGAGGCTTCAAAAACTTTGTGGAAAAATGGAATTAAAAGAGAATGGAGCTTTTTTTGTGAACCTTTTGAAGCCCCCTAGTGTAGCTAGCTGGTCCTCAGAAACCCTAAATAGCGTCGTTATGAGTCGAAATCGACTTGATGGCACTTAACAACAGTATGTATTGCATACAGTGTAGCATGTAATTTGCTATCCGTAAGTTTATATGTAGTGTTTCCAACCCCTAAGGCAAATAAAGATTGGATTTATAAAGATACTAATAATAAAAGGCAATAAAAATGAAAACAAACAAACAAAAAAGTATTTGAACTACATCGGAATTAACAAGTCACCTGAACGGAACCTCATTGTAAGTTGTGAACTTCTGGTAGTGTTGATTCTGCCTTGAAAATGTATCTAGAATTTGACTCTTTCTCACTCATCTTTAACTACCCCCATGGTCCAAGCCCACCGTGATCTCTCACTTGGTTAGTACAGCAACGTACTGACAGTTCCCCCTGCTTCTGCCTTTCCTACCAGTTACTTAGAGTTCTGATGGTGTGGTGGTTAGGTGCCTGGCTGCTAACTGAAAGATTGGTGGTTCAAACCCACCCAGCGACTCCACAGAGGAAAGACTTAGACATCTTGCTTCCTTAAAGATGATGGACTCAAAAACCCTACGGGGCAGTTCTCCATGTGTTGAAAATCCTTTCATCAGCACCCAACAACAAAACATGGATTGGACTGTTTCCCACAAAACATATGTGTTGGAGTGCTGACCTCTGTGGGTGCAATTCTATTTAGAGACTTGTTTTAGTTATCATATTTTTAGGGGCTTAGGGGTCCTGCTGTGGCACCTGTGGGATCAGCACTGGACTGAGAACCACCAGGTCGGCAGTTCAAACCCAACAACTCTGCTCCTTGGAAACTTTATACAGGGTTACTATGAGTTGGAACCGACTTGATGGCACTTAACAACAACAACAAGAGTCCTGGTGTGGTGCTGTAGGATAAGCACTAGACTGCTAACAGCAAGGTCGGCAGTTCAAACCCACTGCTAACAGCAAGGTCGGCAGTTTCCGAGTTGTTCCTCGGAAACCCTACACAGGGTCGCTATGAGTTGGAACTGACTTAACAGTACGTATCAACCATCAACACTCATGGAAGCAGCAGTCAAGAAATCAAACGACGTATTGCATTAAGCAAATCTGCTGCAAATACCTTTAAAAGATGTCAGCTTGAAGACTAAGGTGAGCCTGACCCAAGCCATGGTATTTTCAATAACCTCATATGCATGTGAAAGCTGGACAGTGAATAAGGAAGACTGTAGAAGAATTGATGCATTTGAGTT